GGGGGGGGACTCGAATTCGCCCCCTGTCATAAAATAGGTTACCTGTCGGGGAAGCTGATCGTAAACTCGCCCCCTGTTGGTATGGATATGGCTAAATTAGGCAGTTGCCTAATTTGAATATCATCATATTCATGAAACTATCATCAGAATATGTTATTAAACTTCCAATACAAACCAGTTTCAACCATTTCACATCAATGTTTAGTTTACTGTAAAGTCTTCAATCTAAAAATTGTGTTTACTCAAAAGTGAAAAAGTGTGACCCTGATCGTTTTCCCGTTGTGGCCTTCAATTGATATCCAACATACAATGATAACTGTATAGATCTACCCTGTTTGAAGTTCTGTTCCTGCCAAGGATTACTATAACATTGTACTGCAAAAGAACACACACACGCACACACACTAAATGCTCAGAGATGTGAATGATCATTTACCAGTTTCGATACCCTACTTCTGCTATTTTATAACTATTATAATATTACAAACGGAGGGCGAGTTAAGGATCATACTTTCTGCAGGGAGGGCTGTGGCGTAATAACTCGTCGGCCTAGAGTACAACAGTCGTATGTCCATACACTCCGGTTTTGAGAAATAGGCCTTTGAAGTTTTAGATGGCCCCAGGTTCAAATCAATCACCAACTGATTCAATTCTAACTGTTCCCCATTGTTTGAGTGTATAATCAATGTTTCAACGTAAAAAGTTTTCACAGATTGTCGTTTTCCTGTGGAATTGGGACAAGGTTTTTGTTTTAAGAAAACCAAGTTTTCTGAAGAATTTAACTGAATGCCACAAAGTACAAATGTATCTCCACATCAAGTTTTAAATCTCCATAATCTAGTCTAATTTCATGGCTAAAGTCACTCGCTAGAAAAGCTGAGGGTCCTCCTTGACTCAAATCCCACATGACAAAATATGAAACCAGTACAACCAATTTTTTTTTTTCAGTTTCGATGGGCTTTTATACCTGGCTCACTTTAAATCAATGTTTTATGGCGGACTCATGTTGAAATTTGAGATGACGTCTTTCAAATTACCTCACTGAGATGTAAGGAATGTAAATCTCAACTAACAGTCATTCCAGTTGCACAAAATGTTGGCTCTAAGGATTCTTATAAAACACATTTACCATTTTCGCGTCGCGCAGCTTTCACGGTGTGCATTCCATTAGAAAGCCACCTATTTTATGTGCGCTATACCCCGGAAACGTGCGATTTTTGGGGTATTTTTAAAGAAATGAATCTTCATTGTCTGTATTTTGTTGTAAAAGTACAGTTCAAATCTTTAGTTCAAATCTTTTAATATAGTGTAAAGCGCATAGAGCCTGCTGTTGAGCGGGGATATGCGCTATGCAACTGCTATTTAGTATTATTCAAATCTTTGTCAACATAGAAATAATTTTTATTACTACATTTACTTTCTTTTGATGAAAGTCGTCAACAGTACAAAGGAGCGATGAGACTGAAAAAGG